AACATTCAAGGCTGCACCCTTGTGGAAAGAGGCGCATACAATGATAGTGAAACCAACAAATATACACATAGTCTTACTCAAACAAGAAAAAACCAGCAGACGAAACAGCAACAATGACTGGGATAGAATATTGTTAACTTTTATGAGTTCTACATTGGCATCTCATAATTGCAAACTTATGTGACAGGGACATCATACAATGTAAAAGGTGTGCAAGTGGCATGAAAATGGAAAATGAAAGCTAGTAACTAAAATATAGTAGATACCTTTTTAAACATTCTAATCATTTGGCTGTCACAGTGAGGCACCTGCAATCCTATGAAAGAAAATCTGTCAAACCTTGAATTCTTAAAAACAAATATCACCATAAGTTTTGATTCCATAAAATTAAAACTTTTAAAAATGTATTCACGACTCCAGTGAAACCATAGGGGTCGCGTCGGTCAGGCAAAATGGCAAACGAAAGGAAGTCGTTTTCGTCGTTCAACACGTGAACCACCACTGCAGCGTAAAATATGTGTTATGAAAGCAAAGCGCTTCTTCGACGGTAAAAACCTTCTAGTCGGTGCGTAGAAATGACACGGCGGAAGCATAAAATAATTACTGGAAACAATGTTAGTTTCTATGCTGGCTACGTGAACCAAGCAGTGATAGCAGACGACAGTCTAAACGACCTCCTTTCTTGAGCTTCTCAATGTTGCCGCTACGCGGCGGCGATTTCACTGGAGTCGCCAATAGTCCACATACTGCCATTAAAAGATGGGGTAAATAAAAAAAAATCTGACATATACAAAGGTGGTTACATTACATATTTTGCCGCTTCAGGCTTTTGCGCACATCTTGTATCTTTTGGGAGAGGATGGTAGAAATGTTATCGATGGCGTCTGCAACTGGGACCCCAGCCCTCGTGCCCCAGTGTGTTACTGTCTCTGTAAAGTAGCAACAAGCAAATTCAGTCGGGCACAAGTAATGCGCCTATAAAATAGAACATGACTTCACTTACCAATCACAAGAGCGACTTTCTCAGGGGTCATCTCTTTCCGCAAGATGGCGTCGGGCTTGTGGTAGTCTTTTGGGGCTAATTTGCCCCCATAAGTGCGGTCTGCCAGCCCTTGACGTCCCCAAAGTGCCTGAGCTATGTCCTTAGCCACGAGTGCTGGCTTCCGTTGGCCCAAGGCTTTTTTTGCCTGGTGGGCTCCGATAGTGATGCCACTTTTCAGATGGAACTGTGAATAGAAGCAGTATAGACATAAATTAGGGGCAACCTCAGGAAAATGCTATTTATATGCTTACCCTGCCACCGCCTACATCTGTGAAGGGTGCATGGCCTGCAGCTCGCGGGTCAGCCACTGAGGAGAGGTGAAGGTTCCACAAGTATGTTTTACCAAAATCTTGTTAACTTCTCCATTAATTTTAAGGGACACTAGTGTCTCACTGATGCAAGTATTATACCTATTGCTGGTGGTGAGGCCAGGACTGCACTCCTGGGCTGGTTGGTCAGTGATAGATGACATCTTAGGGGGGTCCTCGGAGGGGTCCTCGGAGGGGTCCTCGGAAGGGTCCTCGGAGGGGTCCTCGGAAGGGTCCTCGGAGGGGTCCTCGGGGGGGTCCTCGGGGGGGTCCTCGGAGGGGTCCTCGGAGGGGTCCTCAGAGGGTTCCTCAGAGGACTTCTTGGGGGCAGAGCCATCTGACAAACGGCAGGGGCCCTTGGGGGGTTGCTAGGAGGCACCGTTCTCCGTGCACTTGGCCCTGCCGTCGGTTCAAGTGATGTGCAAACTGAAACAGATACATACTTCTTCGAGTCCCTGAAGAGAACAGTACAGCACAGATACCAGGTTATAGATAGACCACTGCAAAATATTGGTTACACGGTGTACACAAATATTCCTGAAAATTAAACTGTGACTGCCCTGAGCATTAAATTACATGGAGTAACTTTCAGTATAAGGTCGCTATCTCCTTACCTTGATGAACTGCCTGTGTTCCTGGCAGCTGAACAGGCCCCCTGGACTCCAGCATCTCCTTAACTAGAACAAATGAATAACCACCCCTTAGTTTGAACTCCCTGGTAGAAACCTCTATAAGAAATTCAACCCAGAGTTAAAAGTGAAGTCACCAAATTATCAATTCGCCAATACCTTTAACAGCAGTATTATGATGCAACTTTCTATTTGACAAAGAAGATGAAAATGTGCACAATCCGTGGTATCAAGAAATGAATTACCTAAAACATTTTCTATCCAAGGCACACCAGTCCCCAAGACTATGCTCGTAAGAATCACAGGCACTATTATGAACATCAGATCACCATATTTGTACTTACGCGTTGCCAACTGGCCATTTATAGTTCCACTCATAGTTTCGACGATATTAGTAAGTTGCGCCTTCTCTCTGTTAACTTCTTCGTAGCGACGGCGCCAGTACCGTGCCTCTGTTCGTGCGCGCTTTAACTCAGAGGCAGAGACAACGTAATCATTGCTGTCGCTGTCCGATTCTGGGGCAGGGCGTGGTCTTTTTCTGGAGACCTGCACGAGAACATGTTTGGTAGATTGCAGGTAAACAAATGTTGAAAGCATGTATGATATGCATATTGCGGCACAGACCTGTACAGCAGAGGCAGCTTCATTTTTCTTCTTAGCATTTTCGAGCTGCTCTTCTAATATCCTCTGGTAAGCAGAACTCTTTGACGCCAACTGGAGAGCCTTCTGTCTTTTTTTGTCTTGTGAAGTCTGGCGGGAGTCCTGAAACATGAAGCATAGAAGTTGCTCACAGAAGTGTGAGAAATTGTTTAAATAAAAAATTAATATTAAAGTACATTCCCCTTTTTGTCATAACCAATTCATATATTGGTCAATGTCGTCCCATATCAACTACGGAAGAGTAATTCAACAAGACCAATTTAAACGCAATGTTTTTCATAATTCACTTTTCCCTCGGGCAATTCAAAGATTTACATTCCTTTTTCTTCAGGCAATTCAAGACTGACATTCCCTTCGTAATTAGAGTCATGCTTTGTTCAATGGATAGTCTTATTCATGCATTAACAATACATTTTCTTAAAAATTGCCTTTATAAGTTGTTCATCTATTTTATTTTCTATATTTTAACACAGGTTCATTTCATCTATTTTATTTTCTATATTTTAACACAGGTCCATTCCCATGATGGCTCTCAGGGAAGAGCCACAGAGTTGCTCAAATAAACAAACTAATAAGTGTCATAACAGAGCATAACATACCAGCTTCGACGATTGCTTCTGAGAAGCGGGAGCATCATGCTCGCTTCCCTCCCCCTGCTCCAAATCCGAAGGGTGAATAATAGCCTTGCGCACCCTTTTCAATGCCCTTTTAGCTTCCAGCTCTTCCTTGGAACCTGTAATTTAATAATAATTAGTTCAGCAGTACTGTCACCATTTCTTGGTATAGTACCTAGAAAGTGCAGGCAACAGAGTTTAGTACTTTCTATGCCAAAGCTCTACAATGTATATATTGTAAATGAAAAGTTCCGCCTTCCGCGAGGACCCGATTTTTGCGAATTTCGCAAAGTGAATAATATGGAAGCATATTTCTCTGTGGTGACAAATACATAGCATACCACCCCGATTCGCCAAATTTCTTGCTCGCCTTGCCAAATTCGCGAAATATTGAGCCCGGGAAAATAAAGTCGGCTAGGGTTGACAATTGAGCTAGTTAGTGATCCATAACAGCAATTTCAAGTAAAAAACGAGGACTGCGCACCGTGTCCCTTTCTTGTCCTCGTCTTTTGCGCTGAAATAAAAGTAAAGTAGATGCCGTAGCCCTGTATGGCCTATGAGACGTGCGAACTGCACGTCTCGTAGCCTGGAGCGCGGGCTAGCTCGCGCTTGTAGCTTTAGCTGCAGTGCAGTATAGCGGAGCGTTGAGGCAGTTGCAATCTTTTTTAAGCATTCAGCGATGTAGACGATGGACGCCCTATGTCGGACATTAATTACAGCTGGGAGAATGTCCACTAAGCTCCGCGGAGAAACGTTTCTCCGACGTGACGCACCGCATGCATGTGCTCACCACGCTCTTTATGATACAAGGAGTTGTGTGAACGAACATGCAATTACTTACTTGCGAGAAGCAGCACCTGCGAAGAGTAGGATCCTGTATTTTCGGAGTTCTCTAGGTCTTCCCAGTACGTTGTGTAGACACCATTCTTGTCAAAGTCATTTTCATTTAACGGATGGAAGTCCTTAATGCACCGAACGGGCACCACATACACTTTTCCGTCGAACTCATTAAAAAAACGGACCAGCGCGAACATTTTACGTTAGCTAATGCCCGGGCTTTCGTGGTTCCCGTAACGTTTAACTACGTATTTGCGTACTCCACGCGTCGACATAGGAGACTAGGCCTAGAACTGCTAGAACCAGAAAGCGGCTGTGGCTACGGATTTCACGGGATCGTGACGGATTTGACAAGTTTTTTTTCTCCATCTTGCGATTACATTAAAAATGTGAAGGCAAACGAGGGAAAAAATACTTTTACTTGAAGTATAAATAAACAAAAAGTAAATCTAGCTTTCTGGAATATGTAGACATAACCAGTTTATCCATTCAATTTGTATTTGTCGCAAAATGGAGAATTTACCCAACGAGGTGAATTTACCCCACATGACTCAAGGGCAGGTGGCAAGCTCCATCGCCATCACCGTTTTCCCCAGCTGCCCTAGCACGTTTCACGCTTTTGTAGGCGAATTGTTCGATTCGGCGAAAACTAATGTTTGTCTAAATTTAACAGATGCTATCTGAAGTGCGAGATTGAAAGACTGTGCCTAATCCAGCCAACTTTGGTGTGAACGGACTGGACTTGTGCGTGTTCGATTTGGTTATGCCGTTTTTCCAGTGCTTTCTTTGTGAAAAGAAAAATGAGGCCCAAGACTCGAAAGTGCAACCTCGAGCCCGATGCTTGGGATGAACCTTTGCCAAGGTCAACAGAGTATGAATTAAGGAAAAGGACGCTTGCATCTTCAGGTGATGCTCGTCCACCTTTTGAATTGGGGTGACCCTGACACCTCTTTTGTCAATGCACCGGACGACAGCCTCTTTGAAGATCCTGGTGGTGTTTCAGAACCGAGTGGTAATGCAAGTCCCGAACACAGTGGTTCCACGTTCGCGGATGAAGCTACTTCCTCCAGTTCTTCCAGCTCGCCGTTTTTTTTTTAAGTTCGTGAGCTCCCCCAGTAATGGAACTACAATGTCCGTGGGTGACGCCCTTGTCCTTGCCATGGACATTGCCATTAAGTATGGCCTAGCATGGACAGCATCATGCAGTAGCTCACAGATTTGTACAAGTAGCCACTGGGATTTCTGTCACTGTTATTGTGAAAAAAAAAATCTTTCTCTGCAGTAAAATCAATTCTATCAGCTAAGAGATGGGTTAAAATTATGCTTCTTGTATTTTTATAACATTACAAACACCAAGTGCTTATCTCTGTTTGAAAGTTTTATGCTCATATTTCTTTGTAAAATATAAAATGGGATAACTGGTGAAACTTTTGTTCTGGTATTCAAACATTTTATAGGTCGCCTCTTTCTATGTTAGCTCAACTGTAACTGAAAAATTGTCCCATTAATATTTGTTGTAAGTTAGATACTATTCACTTTGCCTATTCTGTTTTGTTTTTATTTTGTGAATTTGTCAAACCAAGTTTACTTTTGATATCCTGATTTGTATTTTTACTCCTCATTATTTTTAACTTGTGCATATGCAAGCAATTGTCCGAAAACGTTCCTAACAGAGCTGAATACATATGCCAGTTTTGACCTGTGCAAAAGTTTTTTTTCTTGTAGTCATTGGTCTTTACAAGACTTCTGGTGAAACAGTCTGAAATTGTTTACACCCTCTTGCCATCTTTGAATATCCCATTAATTTCCCTGAATGAGCAGTGGAGGCATCAACCTCAGCTGAGTAATCTACAACCCTGCAGAGTTGAAGTTTTCAAGAAATATTTATGTAGTTGCACCTTGTTGAGAGAGGCATAATCAGCTTGACTTCCACTTGCATGTTTTTGATTAAAAATAATTATGCTCAGTCCAGTTCAGTTAACTGTAGCAAGTCATTAACATGGTCTAGTTGGTACTTACTAAAATAAAAACTGCAAAAGTGTGATGACGAACAACAGAGGTGACCCACAAAATATAGGTCATATGTTTTGCCTGCTAGTGTGGTTTCTGCACTGTTTTTTCTTTAATAATTAGGATACTTTATCTAGTCTGGAAAGGAGTCAAGTGTATTAATAAATTATAGACTTGGCTCTCCAAGTGCATTTTGGAAATAACCTTTAGTACAAAGTGTATGACTTAAAGTCAACTGTCAAATTCTTGGCAGTTGGACTGAACTGGACATCAGAGACCATTTAATTGTGAGTGGACACCATCTTTAGCTGAAGGGAACTATTCATCCGTGAACCATTTGAAGGCAAGTGGGACCAGTTCAGAAACCAGTTGCAGTCCAAGTGGTCACAAGTGGGACCACTTGAAGTCAAGTTGGACCAGTTGTAGCCCAAGTGGTCCCACTTCAGAAACCACTTGCAATCCAAGTGGTCACAAGTGGGACCATTTGCAGTCCAAGTGGTCACAAGGGGGACCACTTGAAAGCAAGTGGGACCACTTGAAATCCCACTTCATATTTTCACCTGGGTGTGGTAACTTTTCTGACACCTCTTGCTTAAAACTCTTAAAGTCAAAAGGATCGAGGGGCCCCGCTTTCGCGGTCTGTAATCGTACTGAAAATCAAGATCAAGCAAGCATTTGCCCTTTTGCTCTACGCGAGGTTTCTGTCCTCGCTGAGCTCGCCTTAGGACACCTGCGTTACCATTTGACAGATGTACCGCCCCAGTCAAACTCCCCGCCTGACACTGTCCTCGGAACAGATCGTGCGGGCCAACGAAGGGCCTTGCACTTAGTGCTAGAAGCGTGGACACTCATGGTCCGCTTTCCGCTTCACCGAGTAAGTAAAGAAACGATGAAAGTAGTGGTATTTCACTGACGGCACGACACAACCGCGAGGGTTCACGGCCTTTCACTTATGCTACACCTCTCATGTCTCTTCACAGAGTCAGACTAGAGTCAAGCTCAACAGGGTCTTCTTTCCCCGCTGATTTTTCCAAGCCCGTTCCCTTGGCTGTGGTTTCGCTAGATAGTAGATAGGGACAGATTTTGAGTCGGGGCTCTTGTAAAAAATTTAAGAAAAACTTGTCCCCTGCCCGCTCCCGCTTTCGCACCGCAGGCTTAACCCAATTCCAATAAAAATGAATAGGATCATGTGATCAAGTGAAAATTTCAGGAAAAAGCCAATTGGAATTAAGGGGTTATAAATGAAACCAACTATTGTATTGTACAGCCAGTGGAACGGCCCGGGAAAACCAGTGGTACTAAAAGTACCCACTTGCTCGACTCACTGTCCGGCTCCGCTACTAAGACATGAGTGCGTCTCACAGCGGGTCCGACGGTCACTGAATGGCAACCATGAACCATCCAGCCCCGCCGATCAGTGATCACTTTTATATCCCTCGGCTCCCCTGGAGATCACCCCCGCCACCGTGCGGGGGCACCTCCCTACGTGGGAAGTTACGAGGGGCACCACCTTTATGATAGCTTCCCCTGGTATGGACCCCGCCTCAGTGGCTCCGCTTCCATGGGGTAAGCTAGGGTTCCCAGGCCCTTTTTGTCCCCCCCGTCCACATGCGGAACCCCAGTGCTAGGGTTCCCCACCCCAGGTGGGGGGGTAGTAGATAGGGACAGTGGGAATCTCGTTAATCCATTCATGCGCGTCACTAATTAGATGACGAGGCATTTGGCTAACTTTTTATTGGAAGAATCCAACTCGTTCGCTTTTTAAGGAAGCTTAACCTCATTGTCACAAACACCATAGCACATCCAAGTGTGGGAACGACACAGCACTCAAAACACAAAATGAACACTGACTACAGAAGACTAACAGCACTTCAATTTTCAATTTCACACAACAGGAGTTCCCCTGTGCAAAGGGGAAAAAAGAGAGTTGTTTATTTTTATACATGTCTAGTTGACTCTAAGGAGGCCATTACAGAGATGACAACAACAATCTCAAGAGAATAAAAAGAACACAAAACACAGAACGAAAGAAAAAGATACATACACATTGGTTACATAAAAAAAAACAAATATGGCAGGCGAGATTCCACACACCTACGCCCCTCCAAAACAACAACAAAAGAAAGAACACATGGGGGAGAACAATAAACAGTTTACACACTTCGGTTTGTTCCCCGCATGAAGTGGTAGAAACATCGCAAGGAGCCACGAACTACCTTGAGGATTAAAGAGGAAATGTCACGCTTTGAGAAGCCCAGCAAGCCCAAAGCCTCAGCTGATCTTGGGCAAACGAGCCCTCTCTTAGTGGCTGTTATGGCGTGCACGGCGACAGTGGTTACCGAGAACTTGGACCTTACTGCGTCCACAAAGTCCGGAGCAGAATACTTCCTAATCTTGTCCTCATTAAGTGAGTTAAGGCTTTTGTATTCCCCGACTATTTGAACATCTAGAATCCATGCCCTCTCACCCTTTACACAAATTAAATCTGGGTACCTGATTTCATCTTTTACTTTAATTCTGGGCTCCTCGGACACCGTGCAGCCATCATTTCTTATCTTCTCCGCAATCCAGGGTGCCACACAATTATGTCTTTCCAGGCGCGGCGCATACGACCGAGGACACACCTGGATAATATGTGCGTGTGTCTCAGGGAAGGCACAGCCAGCCCTGCAGCGGGTGTCCTTCGCCCTTCCCCTGGCGCACCTCGTCTTGGACGGAAGCGCGTGGGCCCTAAGTTTGATTAGGTCGACATACTCCCGTCCATTCAGAAAGTGCGGTGGGTTCCGGATGAAGGCCGCAGCAGCACATGTCCGTGCCTCCCTGAACCCTCTCGTGTCCACCATCTGCAGCAGCTGGTCTCTCCAGTAGCTGCGCTCCTGTGTTCTAGATTCAATCGTGACACCCTTAAATTTTACCCCTTTCCCCGCCCTCTCCACCTCATCTTTCCATGCCGTCATGGTCACCAGACTCTCCAACATTCCGTCGCCAGCGCCCTGAACCCCAAGTAGCCGGGAACGGCGGATCCGAGGAATCATTGTCGCGAGACAGGTGACCCCCAACCCGCCGTCCCCCACCGCAGCGTATAGGAAGGCAACTGGAACGTCCTTCGGCAGATGCAGAAAGAGCCGGACAGCCGCTCTAATCCTACGGTCAATCTGGTGTCGGTATGTCTTTGACTTGGCACTCATAACCAAGCCATAGATTAGTCTCGGTATTAGGTAGAAGATTAGAATGTTCATCTTCTGCTGAGGTTTAAGGGGGGCCCTCTCTAGCCTTGCGATAAGGTCGTCGAAATTCACCCCATTGTACCATATCTCCCCTGATGTGTTAACTTCGACCCCCAGATAGCGCCATGAACCTGAGCAATCAATCACTCGAAGTGGTTCTCCATTTACTTTGAAAGCCACTGGGCAGATTTTTGCCTTTTTGTTTTTCCCGTCTCCTACGAGGCTTAGGGTCGAAGACTTCTTTACGTTTACTGTGAGACCCCTAGTGCTCAAAAATTCCTGGAACTTGTCGAGGAGAAATTGTAGGCCAGCCGCCGTCTCCGCCAGAATCACGAGGTCATCAGCAAAAGCCAACGACGCGCACCGCCCCTCACCCAGTCTCACACCAAAGCCCGGGGGGATGCTGTCGATGAACTCATCGATGACCGCGTTAAACAACAGCGGAGACAGCGGGTCACCTTGTCTGACTCCCTTCCCAGGGCGCACTGTCCTTTCCACCCCTCTGTGTTGCAAGGTTGTAGTACAATTTGTGTAGAACCAATGCAGGTAGTCAATCATGGACTTCCCCACCATTTGGTGGCGTGCAAGTCCATTCAGTATTGCGGTGTGTGTGGCGCTGTCAAATGCCTTTGACAGGTCTATATTAGCCATGTAAAGGCTTCGCCCCGCGGCA